ATTTGGAAGCTGAGAAAGAACTTCAGAGGATTAGCTTAACTTCCTCATTTTACAAGGGAAGAGAAACAACCACCCCCCCCACACACACCCACCCCCCACCCCACTCCACCCCGCAGGATGAAGTGGTTTTCACAGGGTCACAGAAGTAATAAGTGGAAGAACCAGAGCTTGCCTCACAACCACCAAGCGAGTTTAATACAAAACACTGTTAGGGGAAGAAGAGCACTTGTTCACTTCGGGGCCAGGATCAGAATGCTGACCCATCAGCATCTTCTATTTCCTTGAGTAGGAGAAATATTGCTGGAAGCCAAAATGGCTGCCAGGAGGATGTTGCTTCTCTATCCCTCTTTAGTAATACAAAGTAATATCTGCTTGTAGCACATTCAGTAGCTTAAAATGCTATGTCACTCTTTGTTTCCCTGTATTGAAACTCTTGGTCCTTCAGAAGCCTGGAAATAGCATTTGGTCATTTTATAACTAAGAATGAAGAATTTGGCCTGGTAAAAGTCCCTGGTTTGCTGTGTGTTCTAAGTAATTTTATCATTTAAGTACTGAGTAACTTTATCATTAATTGAAATAGTTAACAACAGTGCTTTTGAAAACAAAAATGCTTTTCTGCTGGGGAAATAATACGATATTACAAACACTAAATACGGAATTTTCACAGTATCTGGAATTCTGAATTACTGAATCATTGTCTATTCTATTTTGCATAAATAAGGAAAAGTCTTCTCCTTATTCATTTCAATAAAAGCTAGTGCAGAATAGTTTATTTTAGGAGACTGGTTTGCTTCTGGCTGGTTTTAAGACATTACGGACATTGGAGAGTACAACACCAAAAGAAGCTAAGGTAGTTCAGAAGGAATTATTGAGACCTACTTCATTTTTGTTCCTTACAGTGCTGGGTGTGGGACTATGTCCACCAGGTTCTTCGCTCTGTAGAACTTTTAGTTTAAGAAGAGTAATGATGCCATTAGTGGAGTCAGATGCCCAAAGCGAGCAGTGAGGACACTGGGATGAATGCTTGAATTATTTTCCTGGAGAATTCAAAATGAAGGAGTGTGGATCTGGTGTCACTATCATTACTTTGTATGTCTGTACTTGGGGTCATATTGAGTACTTGGGACCATATAGAGATGCCCCCCAAGAACTTGAAAATAAGGGAAATGGGTTTGCTTTGTTATTTCTTTGTAAGCTCAACTCAAGGGAGGGACAGAGCCACCTGCAAGAGAGGCAGATCTGTTACTAGGTGTGCAGGGTTTGATGGTCAAATCCCATTGCCACATTAAATGTGAGTTGCTGTTTGGAGATGGATATGGTCAGGAAAAGGGTGAGTCAGGGAGTTAAACATTGGTAGCACTCTTCTCAGCTTTGTGGAAGGAAAAAGAACTGTGTTGAACAAATTTTCAGTATGATGGCCCCATTGCCAAGGTATCCCAACAGACTTTGAAGATTTTGGTTCTACAGGTGCATCTACCCTTGTTGTGGAATTGGGTCCATCAGGCTGTGCAAGCCCAATGCTGTTAGACTTGTCATCTCCCAGTGGATTAATTCATCAGATGTTGAAGGAGTGTAGATTGATGTGTTACCCATATGTCCAAGAACCAACCTGCTTGTTTCTACAGTGTAAGATAAGAGTTCATCGAAGGGTCTAATTATAATAGTTAACAAACTTTCACATTCCAAATTAGTAAGAGTGCCAGTCTTTTTCCCAGATACATTCATGGATTATTCCTGAGGACCTGTGGGGTTAGGTGCATTCACTGAGATATTCCTGAGGTTGCTGTGCCTGCTCACTTCTAGCTCACTGCCTACCGCTAGGAATAAATAGCAATTTGGGGGCATACACAAGGTGGTACCTGTAACGTCTGGCCTTCAACGTCCTGGGAGTGGGCCTCAGGTGCCTGCAGGGTCTCTGTTACTGCTAATGGAGGAGCCGAGCTCCCTGGAGCCCTGAGGGAGGTGACTACCGGCCCCCACGGGCTGAGTGCCTGGCTCCCAGCTTTCAGTGCAGATCTCCCTCCCTCCTCCAGTATCACCCCTGCTCAGGGCATCCCACTGCCTGAGCTCCAAGGGTTCTGCTCCATGTGCTCAGCTTCACCTGCACTATCTTTCTAAGGCTTTTTTCTGTTGTGCCTGAATGAAGCAGGCTTGTGGCATCTGCAATATTTTGTGCTTAGAACCATCCAGCCCCCCTACTGGATGAGAACAGGTCACTAGTCTAGACATTCCCCCCACCCCGATTTTGGGGAGTTTTTTCGTTCGAGGTCCCTTATGTTCAGACCTTGGGTAGGGCCCTGCTGGTCCATTAGAATTGTTTCGGTTACTCTCCCATTTAAGGGAAGGAGTCAATTCCATTCCCTTTGTCCCAAGAGATCCTTTTGCTTCATAGATATTCTTGACTATAAATTAACATGTGAGGGGGAGATGTGATGTCCAGTGCCACCTGGCAGCATTTGAGACCCCAATATAAATGGCTATGGAGTGACACCTAACTCTTCAGCGAAGAACATCCAAGGACCATGCCCTCAAAAGTCCAGCTACATAAAGTAAGTACAGTCTGAGGGCTTCAGAGCAGAGAACTGGTTTTTCCTGAGGCTCTCTGTCCAGTTGAGGTGCCAGAAATAGGACATTATGATTTTTGTGCTGTCATTAAGGAAAATCTCATAAAAGATTTTTAAGAAATTTTTTAAAAATTTATTTCCTTCTATTTAATGTTCCATATCTTAGTCCGTTCAGGCTGCTGTAACAATACCACGGACTGGGTGGCTTCTGAACAACAGAGCTGTATTACTCACCGTTCTGGAGCCTGAGAGGTCCAAGATGAAGGCACCAGCAGAGTCACTGTCTGGTGAGGGCTCACTTCCTGGTTATTGATCATCCTCTCAATGTGTCCCCACATGGGGAAAGGGACAAGGGATCTCTCTAGGTCTCTTTTGTGAGGATACTAGTCCCATTTATGAGGGCTCCACCTTCATGACCTGATAACCTCCCAAATGCCCTACCTCCTAATACCACCAATTTGGGGATTACATGTTTACATATGAATTTTGGGAAGACACAAACATCCAGTCTATAGCAATCAATAGATAAGATTTTGATTGTATAAAACTGGGGGGGGGGAGTTTGTATCTAAAACATGGTGTAGTGAAAGGTAACTATTCACCATGTGACCATAGGCAAAGCTGCTAATGTGTCTGAAACTGTAAAATGGATATGACAGTACTTAATTTGGAGCCATGTGGCCTTTGGAGTGACCATTCTCACTCTGCGCCTCTCTACTTGGAAAGCTTTCGGTGGCCTGCTGCCAACCAGAGGATGCCTTCCAGGCTTCTGCCCAAGTGTGAGAGGTCTTCCAAGATCTGGCCTGTGTGCTTTTCAGCACACCTCACCTGTCTTTACCTTGCCCCTTGTCGCCCACCGTGTGAATTCCCCTGCACACACTACCCTGGTCCCCATACTCACGTTGCCCACCTTTGTAGAAAGCCTAAATGATCTTCTGGTTTCATATAGCAGCAAAATCCCACAGACAAGCTTTCCCTTTACAGTTTGTTACCAGCACTTGGCTGTCATTAGTGTCCTTATCAATGGGTGGAGAAAAATTTACTTGCCCTCAGTGGGAGGGTGGGAAGGGGAACGGCCAAATAACCACTCCTTTGTCATTTGATATTTATTCAGCAAACATTTATTGAGTACCTGCTGTTTGTTGGTACTGGTGTTAGGAAGATGAGTAACCCAGCATCTGTGGCCTCAGGGAGTTCCCATTCGGGTAGGGAGAGACAGACTCAGAAGCAGGCAGTAACAAAACCTTCTGATAAGTGTTTTGATAACACTTTGGTAAGTGTTCTGAAGGGGAAGTGCAGAGGCCCGTGGGAATACAGAGAAGAATCACTGACTTAGCATTATAGAACACTTCAGAAGACATGTTCAATAGGTCAGCAGGTTTTATGGGAGGAGTTGGCTTGGCTAGATAAAGAAGAAAAGAAAAATGGCTATCTAATATAGAGTACTGTTGATGGCCTTTTCTGGGAAAGGGGTAAGGACTGATTTAATCTAGTCTCATTTAATTCTCACTAGACAATAAAATAAGCAGTTTACATTTTTTTCCCCATTCTTCTGGAACTTGTGTTTTTAAAAAGTGTTGTCAATAGGGTGACAAGATGTTACCCCATTGAAATTGGCAGAATCTGCTGCATTGTTAGAATGATCCTGAGATGACTTGAAATGGTCTCAAGAAATTTAAAACTCCGTTGTCATTTAAAACTCATAAATTGTCATTAGTGGAAAGATTAAGATTATCACAGTGAGTTGTGGTCACACCACAGCATGGTGTTTGCCTATTTAAACCTTAATGGGTATCTTTTTTTCTGTCTTCATCAAAAAGAAAAAAAAAGAAAGAAATACCGGAAAGGTATTAAATGTGTATACTTATGTTTTAAATTACCCCTCTCTTAGTTTTGTCTAAAACTCTAATGGAAACTAGTTTAAAATTTTTTGTTACTTTTGGATGTATTCTTACATAATGGAAGGAAATAAGTTGAACATTTATGGAGGAACGATGAGTAAAAATTGCAAAATGATGTTACTGTTTTTGAAATGGTCAGTTTTTACATGACTCTTAAATGCTGCCTTTCAGGGATTCCTGGGTGGCTCCTTCAGTTAAGCGGCTGCCTTCGGCCCAGGTCATGATCCCAGGGTCCTGGGATCGAGTCCCACATCGGGCTCCTTGCTCAGCAGGGAGCCTGCTTCGCCCTCTCTCTCCCTCTGCTTGTGCTCTCTCTGTCAAATAAATAAAATCTTTAAATGCTGCCTTTCAAGTTTAGTAGAAATAGGAGATGTGGGGATTTTCCTTTTACTGCAAAAGAAGCAAGAACATCAATCAGGTGGAAGCATGCAGCTTTTAACATAATTTAGAATCCCAAGTAGTTATGAAGTATGTTTTTGTCTGGATACTAACATGAAAGATTTCTTACTGAATAAGAAGACTGTTTCTCTTTAAGGTTATGAGAAGACTGATGATGTCTCAGAGAAGACTTCACTGGCTGACCAGGAGGAAGTACGGACTATATTCATCAACCAGCCACAGCTGACAAAATTCTGCAATAATCATGTCAGGTAGGACCTACGAAAGATCTCTGTGGGACCAGCTATCACAGCGGAACCCAGTAGGCCATCTCCCCTCTCTGACCAAAACAAAAATACTTACAGAAAGCTTTCAGTTAAATCGGTTACTATTTGAGAGCTCACTGGAGGCAGTATGAATCGGCTCTTTTCTCCATCTTCTGGCCAATAAAGAGATGGGAATAAGAATCTGGAAGTTGGAAGGAGAAGAAAGGATAAACAGCCATACTCTCCCAATTATATTTATAGTGTCTGGACAGTGAAAGCTGCTTATGGATTAGTAGAAATTAAAATTTAATGGATATATACCTTTGTCTCAAACCTGTTAATAGAGTGATGAATTATTGTTTTTGGCCAACAAGTCTTAACATTTTAGAAGAGGTCTTTGCAGTTCTTCACCCAGAACTCCATTTTGTTACATAGTCTTTAAATATTGGCCTTTGATAGTTGTAAAATTCAGTGTGGTGTTGAGGAATGGAGGGCTGTGAGAATTACTTCACCGTTACATTTTCCTTCCAACGATAGTATAAAAAGTATCACTGTTGTAAGCACTGTTCACTGTTACATTTTCCTTCCAACAATAGTATAAAAAGTATCACTTTTGTAAGCACTGTTCACTAAGTGTCCTCTGAATGGAGTGAACATGAACACCCCCTTACCCCTTACGCTAGCCCAGGGTTTCTCCTGTGGCAAAATTCCTGGATTTGAGAAAAACCCCATTTACAATTAATATTTACAACTTCACATTCTAGAGTAACTTTCTCAGTTGGGGGGATGTGGTATGCATTCCTGCAATCTCCTATTTTTTAAATTTTTAAAAGATTTTGTGGAAAGCATTAAACGTAAAAGTAAATAGCACAACGAACCCCCTTGTACCCATCATCCAGCTTCACAATTATCAAGTCATGTAATCTTCTTTCTATTTAAATAACAAGAAGATTGGATGTTTTCAGGACCTAAGTGTTGATATCTTACTGATTGCAGACATAGCTGGTATGTTCAGTGTGGAGTCCTAGCCAAGTTCCTAGAGGGACCATGAAGAAAATGAACAGAACCCTAGAAAACTTCCCATTTTTCTGAAATTATCCTATGTAGGCATCTCTGTTTAAAGTTCCTGGTCTTGCTCAAATTCGATTTTTTTTTTTGGTAAGTTTTTTTATTGATGCACCATCATTGATTGCTAACTAAAGTTGCTCTTCTTCATAAGTTACTCCTAGTATGTTAAAAAAGGATGGTTGGCAAAAAAGAACAAAAGATATCGTGCAGAAAATTAGACTCTTACTATCTAATTCGACAGTTCCTTTTGCTCATATTCATTTAGGTTAATGACCATTTGCAATATTCTCCCAATTTGAAACAAAGGGCAAATGTTCATCTAATTTTTTATGTGATGATAATAGAATTTTATAAATGTGGGTGCTAATTATGGAGTAATTAAGTTTTATGCTACTTTTCCATTTTGTTTTCTAGCACTGCAAAATACAACATAATCACATTCCTTCCAAGATTTCTCTACTCTCAGTTCAGAAGAGCTGCTAACTCATTTTTTCTCTTTATTGCACTGCTTCAGGTAAAGTCACATCATAAAACTTTAGTTCAAAGTCGAATGTTCTTGTTTTTGTTAAGCCCATGACCAATCTTCCGAAGCTTTAGCTAAACACAGAGAGACAAGCTGGTTTGGGTGGACATTTCCAGTTCCTGCCACAAGCAATGTCAGAATTCCACTGACATTTGATTCATTGTTACCAGCCTATTTTATTTTTAAATCGTTTTTATCGGCTTATTTTAAACATTCTGTCAATTTGATATGGCAGGGATGAAATTTAATGGTAAAGGGGGATGGAACTTTTTCTTCAAATATTAATTAAATATTCATTTATTTTAGTAACAGTAACAGTCAATTCTGAACCTTAGAAGAATTTACATTTTAAAACTTGTTTCTTTTTTGTATTTGAGTTAGTAGTAACCGGGCAAAAAAAGAGTTTCATTTTATTAAAAAACATACATTCATTGTAAAAATAATTAGAGAAAAAAATTGAAGAAATAAAAAAAATTAAAACTCTCACTTTTCTGCCACTCAGAGGCAACTACTCTTAACATCGGGGTGTATATCTTCCTCGCCTTTCCCCTCCCCCCTCACGTATTGTTTATTGATTTAGCTTACAAAAAGAAGATCATAGAATATATATGTTTTATATTCTGCTTTAACCATGTGATAATGTGTGGATATTTTCCCATGTGATTCGGTGTGTCTTTAGAATATCATTTTTAATGATTATGTGATATTTAACTAACTCCCCTTTGTAGGTGTTAGTCCTGCACACACAACAGCTTGTCATGAAGCCAGCTCCCATGCTCTTCTAGCCACTTCCTAGACAGGAGCAGACTGCCTCACTCAGTGTTAGTCTGCCACAGTAGTAAAATCACTGAAGAGTATTTTAAGAGGCACTAAGACTTGGTTGTTTTTAAACCTATTATAAACTTGCTAGTTCTCACTGGATTTTTTTTTTTTTCCCCAAATAGCAAATACCTGATGTATCACCAACAGGTCGCTATACAACACTGGTTCCTCTCTTATTTATTTTAGCTGTGGCAGCTATCAAAGAGATCATAGAAGATATTGTAAGTACTTAATTTTTTCATAAATGTGCCTTATTTTATATGCATATTTTAAAATACTAGTTTCTCTTTAATTCTTGACACAGGCTGTTTAAAATGCTCATTCAACTTAAAAACATATAGAATATGCTCTGGAGTGCATTGTTCTTAGTTTCTACAGGATTACTGTTACAGAATGCTTGTCAGAGTGTTCTCTGCATTTGTAGTTTAGTAGTGAAAGAAATTAATTTAAATGCAATAATTGGCTTGGAGAAAAAATTATATTTGAACAGTATTTTCAATTTGAACATTATTTCAAGTTAAACACAGTAGCCTCCAAATTGTCTCAGTGTAAAGGGTCTTTTAATATGTTTTATTTTAACGTATATGCACGGTTTTCACTTTATTAAATACCGTTGATTCCTTTTCATCTTTAGTAGTTTTAAGCTTCCTTTTATTTTATTGAAAGAAAGTAGTATTAATCTGTAGTAGCTGAGAGAAGGGGAAGTCAATTTCCTATTCATAAAGTAAGTTCCCCAAAATTAATTGAGACTTCTCTTTTTCCTCTTCTACCATTATTTTAACTACTTTAGTTGAGGAAGCCAATTTTTTTTTCTTTTGCTCTTTAAATACTTGGCCTATATGAAATGACCTTCTGTCGAGCCTTAGGCAAGTCAGATGGTAAGGCGAGGAAGGCCTGAGACATTCTTTAGCAAGCTCCAATTTAAAGTTGCACAGACATTTATATTATTTCTGTAGAGAATCAAATTGAAACGGGTCAAGTGTCCATTTAGATCATCAGTCTCAAAAACATCCAAGTGTCTAAGAGTACAGACAGAGGTTTGATGTCTGTGTTCGTGTTTGTAAAACATCACAGTCCTCTTGATTGGAAATGACATGCTTGATGGGGACCACAAGCTGAAAATTTAAAGGACTCTCTTTTTATCTGTATTGTTCCACACAGACTTACCATCCTTTAAATTGTACTTGGATCTAGCAATCCATAAGGATCGGTCTTTACTATAATTGGTCTCCTTGTTTGCCTTATGTACTCCCTTTTCTTTGACATAGTTTGATTAAGCATATATTATTTACTAGACATTGTGCTATTGTTTTTGCAAATGTTTTTCCCATTTAATTTCTTCAATAACTTTACAAGTTGGATATTAATCACATTTTAAAGGTAAGGAAGCTGGGGCTTAGAGAGATCATGAAACTTGTCCAAGAAAGGTTGGGATCAGATTCCTTCTCATCCAGCTCTTGTTCTCTTTTGTGGCAAGTCACCAATAATAGTATTCATCACATCTGTTGAGTTTCTGGGATCCGTGTACTTGTTTTATATCCTTTACATTTATTAAGTCTTATAGCCACTCTCTAAAGGATTACTGGTATTAGCCCCATTTTACAGATAAGGGAGAGGAGGCACAGAGGAGCAAGGTAACTTGCCCAGGGTCACACAGTTAATAACTGGGGCTGTGAGAATTCAAAACAAGGCAGTTTGGTTCTAGAGCTCCACGTTATTATCACTGCTCTAAGCTGCCTGTCCTTTTTTCTTTTTCCCTAACAATATTATAAGCTCTCTAGCTATGGTTTTTAGTACCCCTCTGTATGAAAATAAATGGTAAATAAAATGATATCCAAGAGGGTATTTTTTTTGTTTGCTTGTTTTTTTTTATAACAGAACTCTTATTGGCACAATGTAATAATTGGGTACTTCTAGAAAACAGCTTATCAGGTACTTCCTGGAGGATGTATTAATAGTTGGGTGGAGTGATAGTATTATGTGGAGTACTTTTCCAATAAAATCATTGTTAAGAAATTGACAAAAAAGGTTAAGAATGGTTTAACAAGACATTTATATCAACTTAGAGGTGATAGAAAGTTTGAAAAATTACTCCCTAGAAAAGGAAAAAAGTCAAATAGTTTAGATGACTGCCCAAAGAGTATCTTTATCAGTAATTACAATGAATACATATATTTGCTCATTCATTCAACAAAATATATGAAGCAGTACGTAGGTGCCAAGAATTCACTAGGATAGGTATTAGGATGTGTTCAACTTTTGCTGCAGTAATAATCACGTCCCAAATGTCAGTGGCTTAAACCTAAGTTTATTTTTCACATTTTTCACATTTTCAAAGACACTGCAGGTTTTTATCCGGGAGGAAGGGCGGGCAGCAGGCCCCGTTGCTCATGTGGTCACTCAGGGATGCAGCTGAATCGAGAGTCTGCTATGTGGAATAGTGGTGGTCACCCGAGCAGAGGAAGGAGAGAATGGAGGTCCAGAAATTTGTGGTCCAGAAATGGAGCACATCACCTCTGCTTACAGTCTAATATTAGAACTAGTGACAAGAAGGAAGTTAATCTCGGTGTCCACGAAAATAGAAGAAAATGAGATATTGGTGAAGACTAATTATGTCTCCCACTCTTATGTCAGTGAATAAAACACAGCTTATCTTCCAGTAAGCCTTCTTTCATATTCTGTTGAACATTTACAATAAAACAGTAGGAATCCCCTCCAGGGGAGACACCTAAGACTTACCCCCTCCCAGTGCATTCTAACTTTGATGCTTTGCATAGCTTAACATAATATGATTTCCTGTTTTTAATGTGCAAGTAGCAAATGACATAAATACTTATTTGAAAATAAAATTGGTGGAGAACTTTTTAGTTTAAAAAAAAAACTGCATCTTGTCAGATGCCAACTCTTATGGTAAGGGTCAAGATTGGTTGTTAAATTGATAATATTCACCATGAAAAACATGCCTTCTTTGCTATACATGTGTTAACTTAAACTCTGATAAACTTAATTCATTTATAAAAAAAAACATAAATTTTTAAAGTCCACAGTGTTCAGAGACCAAATACAAGGAAAAGGTTAGTGAGTAAAAGTAGCCAGTTTGGAGCTTGCAGTCCAGTGGAAGAGACAGAGATTAACCAAGTAACCACACCAGCTATTGCCTTTTGGCTAGAATTAAATGATGCACTGAAGTCCTTAGAACAGTACCTAGTTCTAGTAAGTGATGAATAAATGTTAACTGTACTATCATCATCCAAATATCCTTTTGACTAAAATATAGAAAATGGATTGGAAGGAAATAGGATTTGGGTACACTAGTTAGAAGAATATTCTAGTAGCTGGTATAAAAAAAATGAAGAGATCTTAGACCAGATGGCATTGCAGATAAAGCAATATAAAGAAATGAATTCAATATCTTTTTAGGAGTAGAATTGATAAGACTTTTCACCATCCAACATGCTACATGCCCTACTTATTTTGTTCACATTCTCTCTCCAACCACTAGAATGTAAGCTCCATAAAGAAAAAGAGTTTTATCTCTTGTTCATTGTTGTATCCTCACCAATAGTAACAGGGCCTGGATCATGGTGTTTTGTAAATATTATTGAATGAAGAAGGATTGGATGGAAGTGAGAGGGAGAAGAAGATGCTAAGGATGACTCTCAAGTTCCTGGTTTGTGCAAGTGGATGGTATATGGTTCCATGTCTGAGAACAAGGACAAGGCTTGGGGGTTAAAGTCCTAGATTGCCTTGTGGACACAGCAGGAGATGCCTTTGAGCCTGCCAGAGGGAGATGTCAAGGATATAACTCTCTGGAGCTCAGATGAGAGTCTTGGCTGGTTATATTTATGTATCAGTTACAAGTGAAACTGCAGGTATAGATGAGCTGAGCTGGGGAGAGAGTATAGAGTAAGAAGCGAAGAGGACCAGGGAGTAAGTCTTGAGGAAGTCCATCACTGTAGAACAAGATAGGAGATGAAGAAGGGACAAAGGTACAGGTGGAACACCTGGGCAATGATAAAATAAGAAACACTTAGGAAGGGTTCCCAGGAGGGAGTGGTCCACATTACATACTTCAGTATTCTAAAGTTCATGGTACTATTTATACAGTACAGTTTATTGATGCACTGTCAGTTAAATATTGATAATATTAAGTAATTCACTAGCCCTCAGTGATTTGAAATGAATTCTCACTATAGGACAGTGGAGGTATTTGAACTCATGGAATAGCTGTATTAATGTTTTCTGAAGTGTTCATTTTAGAAGGAATAATAATCTGTTTGGGATCCAGAGATGCTTTTCTCTCTCTTTTTTTTTTTATAGTTTTAAGATTAGAATCTGCCTATCTGGATAGATCCTATAGTTTTAAGATTAGAATCTGCCTATCTGGATAGATCCGAATTTATTCTGTGGCGGGAAGGCCGAGGAAAGAGCTGTACAAGAATTCTCCTATATAAGAATTCTCTGTAGATGGAAAGTAATGTTCAGGATCTCCTCAGGTTTCACTAAGATTAAATTTCCTGTTTAAGTAGAATGTTTCATTAATTAGCTTTTATTTGTCTCCTTCAGTTGGAAGTCTATTGTCTGTCATAGATGTCTATTGTTTTGGAAATATTTGCACGTCCTTCATATATCTAAATTTGCTTTGGACCATTACTTTGGACCCAAAGTTATTTTGGGTTACTTTCTAATTTTCTTAAGATCTTTATGAACAATAAAAAACAGTAAGTATTTGAGAGTTTCATCAATTATAAAATATTCTCTACTGATGCTACAAGTTTAAACTTTAAAAATGTATTAAGAACATCTGCTGGTAAATCATAAGCTTACTTTTGGAAGCAATAGTTTGCCTAATGAAAGTCTACATTTTTATGGTTTTATTAGTGAGTGTTTTGCTCTGAGAAAGAACTGTAATGTGTTCCTGTTTATGGATGTGGCAAGAATTATTTTCTACAAGCCTTCCACAGAGGCATTTTGAATGCTCTCTTTGCATTTTGTGCAATTCAGTGGCTGATTATGGGAACTGCGTTCCCGCTGCCAGCTATTAGGACACTCCTGAGTGTTGCTGTTTTGGGAGGAGTGCTAATCCACAGCTCCGGCATTTTCTCTTGGAGAGTATGGTCGTATTTGCACAGTGATTCTAAAAACCATATTTCTTCTCAAATGGAAAAATTAGGAACTCCTTTGTTGCACATTCATTCCAACCCACCTTATAGTCAGGTCTGTGTAGCTAAATCTGACCTTGAGCTTTAATGATAGAATTTTTGAGCTCAGAGTTAGTTATACTCAACACTTTTCTACAAAAGTCAGCAGAGGCTGATGTGTTAGACTTGATGCTGTAAGTTTAGACAGAAGCCATGGAAAGCCTCTAGTTGGACCATAGACAAGATAGCTTCCTCTGGCCACTCAAATTAGATAATGAATTTCATAAGAAGCTGAAAATATTTCAGTACCACTATTAAATGGTAATTATTACAGATAATTCTCTTGGGCAATCTTCTTTTTTAAGTGAATTATTTAAGCAAAAAGCTAAGTCAGCCTTTTCCATTACATTAAAATTTGAATCTTACCTGTGTAATAATGTATGATCCTTCTGAGGACTGCCCAGCTGTGCTCCCAGGAGTATTCTATGAAGATGCTATAGATTGTGCTTTCAATTTTAAAATTCCCACCTACCCTCTGATTCTTCTTATCACCACACCCCAGCATGCTTATAAAATTGATATGGGTATAAAAGGATAAAAGCCTTGAGAAACATAAGTTGAAAGAAATCTTTCTTGTTGTAGATGCTACTTTGTTTTATTAATCTCACCCATTTTTTCACAGTTCTTGTTTTTGCTTTTAAACTTTAGAAACGACATAAAGCTGATAATGCAGTGAATAAGAAACAGACACAAGGTAGGATTTTTACATTTTATTTCTCTTATCTGTCAAATATACTCATAGTAATATATTACAAATCACTTCAATTAAATGTAGTTCAGTTGAAATACTGTGTATCTCTTAAGTTCTTATTCCACCGTAGACTTTTTTTTTTGGTAGCATTTATTAGCATGACACTTAAATTCACTTTAGAATGATTTACAGTGGTAATACTTTTGAAAGATAACATTTTTAATACATTTAAATACCTCATAGCAATGTATTCTGAAATACTGTTCATGAAATCAGCAGTTGTTTAGACATGTTAAATGCTGCAAGATGTCCACATTTTGTTGGTGATCAATAGATGTTACTCTAGGCAAGATTTATAGAAAACAATCAGATGTGATTTTACTTGTTAAAAAGCATGTTGGAAGCACTTTGTGTTCTACTGTACACACAGGTGATATATGTCCAGAAATAAATAAAACAAAAACCAGACCAGCTTCTGGGAAGCGTGTGGCATTTTGACAGGGCTCTTTTGTTGTGGGTCTCTCTTTGACACAGCAAAAACCAAAATGACCTGTAGCACAAGACCATAAATAGACCATAATGCTCTTAGATTAAAAAAAAAAAAAATACCCAGGAACATGTGAAATAGACATCTTATCCCATCCCTGAGCTTGCCCCATCTGAGAATCTCATCTCTCTCTGAAGTTCCCTGATGTGATAAGGATCAGCCATATCTGCCAAAATTAGCTGGTGATTAAAAACAGTATTTTTAGGGCACCTGGGTGGCTCAGATAGTTAAGCGTCTGCCTTCAGCTCAGGTTATGATCCCAGAGTCCTGAGATCAAGTCCTGCATCGGGCTCCCTGCTCAGTGCAGAGCCTGCTTCTCCCTCTCCCTCTGCCATTCCCTCTGCCTGTGCTCTTCTGTCTCTCGGTCAAATAAATAAATAAAATCTTAAATAAATAAATAAAAACAGTATTTTTATACTGCTGTGATTTTTATGGGACCCTGTCAAATACCCTGCTTTTCTTCCAAAGGGATCATCTGCTTATGCCCTCCACTAAAAGGATTATCTGATTTTTGATACATTTGAGGAAGGTGCATTTATTAAAGTATCACTTAATAAATTAACAAAATATTTACTGAGATTACATTATTATGGGACATGTGAGAAAGCGTAAGATGGGAACTATATAAAAGCACAAGGGCAAGATATGATCTTGTGTGGATCAAAATGAAAGGCTTGGATTACATGGTCTCAATGTCTCTCTCGATTTTTGTGGCAAATAATGGTTCCTATGTTAAGTCCTACATGGATCTAAAAGAAGGAGAGAAAATTGTGGGGTAATTTGAGGTCGATCTATAATCTTAGGGAACACTTTGAATGAGCAGAGGCGTCCAAATGGGAAGACCTTACATGTGTGTTGAATGAGAAAGAGGAAAGGGAGGTTATCTTGAACAGAGATGAAGAAGGCTGCTGGATTGCCTTGTTGAACCATTACCAGAGTGTCAGATGAACAAAGGAGAGTCATATCAAAGAGAAGCAAACACGGGGCACCTGGGTGGCTCAGTCGGTTAAGCGCCTGCCTTCAGCTCAGGTCATGATCCCAGGGTCCTGGGATCGAGCCCCACATCAGGCTCCTTGCTCAGTGGGGAGCCTGCTTCTCCCTGTTGCTCTACCTCCTGCTCCCCCTGCTTGTGCTCTCTGTCAAATAAATAAATAAAATATTTTAAAAAATAAAAAAAAAAGAGAAGCAAACACATGATTAAAAAGGAATGCCAAGGTCAAATTTTCCAGGGCTTGCATGCCAACCCAAGGAGATTCCAACTTTTGAGTATACTGAATAGCTGTTGAAGGTTTACAAGCCAAAAAGAGACAGGATGACCATCCAGCGTAAAGTTGGAGAACAGAGTGGAATGGAGTAAGAGGCTATAAGTAGCCTGGGGACAAAGGAACTCTAGGAATTTGGGTGGGAAGAGACAACCATAGGAATTGAAAGGAGAAAAAATCCAGATGTTACTGGTACTGGTGTTTTGGACAATATGCAGAAATACATTTGCATTTGTTGCCATGTGGCTTAGAATATTCAGTAACAGCTTTTGAACCAAAAATACCTAACTGTTTTTCCAATACAGAATGTATCTTGTAGCTATTTTACAAGGGCTATCTTCAGGGACTAGCAGTTATTTATCTTCAAGCCTTGGCCCAAGAAATCAATATTGTTTGATTGAAGAGCAACCATCATAAGCTATGGTGATTTTAGGCTACTCTACCTTGTACTGATGTGTTCTCCAATTTTCCAGGAACTTACCTACTTCCCCAAATACTCACTTTTCTCTCCTTTTTAGAGAAAATATTCTTTCTTGGTTATCATTCTTGGTTCATCAGTTAATCCTGGATTAACAGGATTAGCTCTATGGCTAAAAATGAAGAACAGGCAAGTGAGAGGGAAAGCTTCTATAGTATATAAAAAAACAAAACATTAGGGCTTAATAGCTATAAAAGCCATTTGAATCAGAAAACTTGAGAATTCTATATCCAAGAAATTCTGACTTTTAGTTTGATACTTAAGTTTATTTTCTGAGGGAATAGTATTTTTTTCTTTGCCTCTGAGTGTTGGTTGTCTTTTTGTTTTGCAGTTAATAGGAGATAACAGAAATGGTTGAGTAGGATACTGTTTGCTGTCACATAATGAATTGCTTAATATGAAATCTATCTGTTGTCAGTAGACCAGAATGAAATTCAGTTTGCTTTCCTGAATTGAGGCAAGAATGGGTGTAGGAATGGGAAGGGGGTATTTTTGACAGATAATTAATTTTTTGGCAGGCATTTGAAGTATTTAACTTAAATTTTCATTTTATAAATGTTTACCAAGACCATGTAGTATGTGAGAGGATACCTTCCTGTCGGATTCAAATATTCATCCTCTTTCCTTACAGAAATGAATATTTTGTCTCCTTATTTTACATCGAAGCACTAGAGTGACTTTTTTCTGTCATTCCCTAATGACTTCAAAAATATAAATTCATAATTTCATTTACAACGTTTTTATCCATTTGACTGTAAACTATCTGATGCCTCATTTTCATGAACTAATGAATCCAGTCCAGATGAAGTGATGGATTTGGGACTTAACTCACGACTTCATAAACTTTACATTTTGAGCCTATCATCAGTACTTATGGGAACAAGCCATTTCTTATCCTAGAGATACAGAAGTTGCTTAGGTAGATGGTTCAGTGGGTTGACAAATGTAAAATTGTAGGTTGCTCTCTGAGAACCTACCTGCTGAGGGAGAGCAGAGTAAATTGATGGTCAGAAGTCCAGGGAGTATGAGTGTGTCTTTGAGTATTGTGGTTCACTCCTCCCAGTGAGTTTTGATTGCTTCTCTGGGCTCCCATGTTTTTCTCATGTGGTGGTTTGCGTGTACTAGGTAGGTGTATCCTCATACTCATCTTTGTATTGCCCAAATCTCTTAGCCCAGATGCCTGTATGGGTGAATGAACCACTCTCCCTGTAGACACTTGAGTACAGACGAAAAAGCAAGAAGAGACTAGAAATGAAAGGAGACATTGAAAATTCATTATCTGCGGTGTAAACAAGACGAAAGGCAGTGTTTTCAAAACACTGTCTCTGAGACTGTTTTGCAAGCACTGATAAAATGCTAATGGGATGGAAGCTTTTGCTGTCTCTTTACCTTCCCTGTTGAAGTCATCATATCATCGCTTTCCCTCCCATGAACACGGTACTGTGTCCACTTACCACTTCCATTACCCAAAGCTCCAGAGCACTGCCAAATTCAGAATGCCCTGGTTTTCTTTGCACCTAAACTTACCTTCATGTTCTCTGATTTCTTCCTCAGTATTGGAACTCAGAATATTTGATTATCTCTCTCCATGTGTCTACATACACACTAGGGGTAGTCTCTCCCTGTTCTCCCTCATCTGGGTTGTTTTGCCAAATTTAGCTCTGCAGGAATTTGTAAATTGTAAATTCATTATTATCATTATAATATGTAAATTGAAAACAATCTCTGATTTTATGATAGAGGCTGAGCTAGTTCTCTTTTTAAATTGTAAACATATATTTTTTTCATGAAGTGTGCTATTATGGCTAGTGTGTCAATATTTCAAGTGGAATGGTAGTTTCACATAAAATCACAAGGCAGAGGCCTGGGAAAAGATGGGACTCAGGTGCAGACTATAAAAGATATTGAGGATCTTAAAAATTAAAATTAAAAATGCCCCCTAATGGAATAGCTTTGCTTTTTTTAAAAAAAAAAAAAATCCCAGGTTTGGATCTTCCCCGAAGGATTGTGTGTATACATTCCACCAGTGAGAATAGATGGGAGATAACCTGCGGTTCCTGGCAGCCCATCAGTCACCTGATTTGATGCCATAGTTGAACGAGGACCACCATTACTAGTTAGATTGTTTCATACCTTGCTTTATTACACAGCAGACATCAGAGTAAGTTTTTAATAAAGCTGTTTTTCTCTGTTTTAACTGAGAAAAGGACAGCAGCAACTAAACATGTAGCTAAAAATACCAGATCTCATCTTTAGCTCTGTCTTCCTGCCCTGGAGCTACCTCAGCCTTCTTGGAAGTGGAAGTGAAGTGGTGGTCACCGATAGCCAGTAAGGAGGCTGCTTCCCTGCAGGGCACATAGTTACCTCTCTCCCATGGGAAACCAGTTCGCCTTTAAAGCCCTTTGTGAGAAAGGTGTAGAGTTGGCCTGAGTGGACTGTTTCGGGATGGTAAGCCTGAAATGACCTATTAAAGGCTAAATCCTTCTGGAGGACTTCATTCCATGCTAAGGGACTTAGGATAGCACCAGTTTCCTGTGTATTGAAAAAGCTAGCTTTCGGCCGGAACCGCTATCTTCCAGTATTTCACCAAAATGACTAACACAAAGGGAAAGAGGAGAGGTACCTGCTATATGTTCTCTAGACCTTTTAGAAAACATGGAGTTGTTCCTTTGGCCATGTACATGTGAATCTATAAGGTGATATTGTGGACATCAAG